ATATATATATATATATATATATATATATATATATATATATATATTCAGTCTTGGTTGAACTATGATTCTGTCATTTACTTATTCCAAACCTGTTTGAGTTTCTTTCTTCTGTTGAACACTTAAAAGGTTATTTTTGACCAAAAAAAAAAAAAAAAAAAGCTGAGACCTGTAACCACCGATTTCCACAGTATTTGTTTTCCTATTAGAAAGTCAGTGGTTACAGGTTGTCAGCTTTACTTAACTTTTGAGTTCAACAGAAGCAAGAAATTCAAGCAGGTTTGGGACAAGTGAAGAGTTAGTAAATGACAGAATTTTACATTTGGACAAACTATCCCTATATATAATAAAATGCACCCTTACCAATTAAAGGTAAATAAATGTTTTGAAGTTACTACCCCAGAGACAGTCTTTATTAAGTAAAAAAAAAAAAGCTCTACATCAACTCATTCTTTAAGGTTTCCATGCTAGGAGACTTTTTATTTTCCATCATCCATGCCAAGCAAAACTTTTTGCACAAGTTCAAAGTCCTTTACTATATATTATGTGAAGAGCATACATTAATCCATACAAGACAAGAAAGGTCTGGAAGTGTGCTGTGGGTGGTGTCCAATTCATTCTTCAGGACAACAGAGACCCTCAGTGAATGCAGGGCCAATAAAGCATCTTCAGTCAGCAGGATTATCAATCTAAAAATATAATTCAAGGATATTAATGTAAGGACAGTATCAAAATGACTGAGCCAATATTACATGATTCATCAACTTTTCGTGATTACAAATATGTTAAGTAAAAGTTTTCAAAACTTTCATCTTTTCATTAAACATGCCTAATTGTGAAAAGAATGAATGAAGTCTTACCAGGGTGTTCCTAAAGAATCTTAAGTCACGCTCACGCAGCAAGACCAAAAGACCTCTGATAACAGTAGTCCGTCATGAACTGACATCATGCAGTTCCTGGAAATCAAGAATCAATTTTTTAAAAATTAAAAAAAAAAAAAAAAATTCTAATTATATTTTAATGTATACTTTAACACGTGACCCCAAACATACCTGCTCATCATAAACCTTTAAAAGATTAGCCAGGGTATCTGCTGTCTTGCCAGTTTTGGATGCTGTTTGCCTTGAAATTGTCATCAAATGAAATAGGTGGTGGTCCAGTTGTGCAAAGAATTTGTGGGGAAAATTCTCATTTGTAACATGTTGGTACTCTGCAAACAGCAAAAAGAAACAAGAGAATTTCATAAAACAAACCCACACCACAAAATATACAATTCTAGAAAAAAATTTATTAATATTATTATTATGTTTCATTTACTTATCTATTTTTTACCTCAGATGAAAATCAGGTGTTGATCAGATGTTGAAAGCAGGATCTTCATGTTGTAAACTGAACTCAAGGTCTAGCTGAAGTTTCACTTTCCTTGCTGCAAAAGTATCATTGATAAATACACTGTAATATTTATTTTATCTGGATATGCCAGGCATAGTAGTACAAAATAAATATTTTAACCACCTTTCACATGCCTCCATTTAAGAACATCACTGGGCTCACAGATTTTGAGTTAATGAAACTTTAAAGAGACATTTTGTATGAATTCAACCCAGCAGAATTGTTCACCTTACTTGAAAGATTAAATTTTTTCAAACTCAAAAATAAGAAAAAGTTCTAAATACTCATCAAGGTTAATTAAGATAAACGAATTTTAATGATTTAAGTTAATAGAACTCAATTCAATTAATTAGTTACAGCATTAGGGTTTACAGTGCAGAAGTCGCTTTGTAGGCAAACATCAGAGCTTTGAATTTGATGCGAGCAGCAACTGGCAGCCAGTGCAAACGGATGAGCAGCGGAGTGACATGTGCTCGTTTAGGTTCATTGAAGACCACTCGTGCTGCTGCATTCTGGAGCAGCTGAAGAGGCTTGATAGAGTTAGCTGAAAGCCCGGCTAGTAGAGAGTTGCAGTAATCCAGTTTGGAGAGAACAAGAGCTTGAACAAGGAGTTAAACTAGAACTAAAATGAATGAATATTGTAATAAATGTGTTGTTCATTGTCTGTTCATGCTAGTCAATGCAACCTTAATATTTATTAAGATTTTATTGTATGGTTACCAATAAATATTTAGTTTTAACATACAATTGCAAATAATTAAAAATATAAAACAAATTAAAAGTCCACTTGAAAATTCTCTGGATTTGGCAGGTTTTTCTATAAAGGTCAGATAACATTTCTTCCAGTTCTCAAATAATAATGATTTTACATTATCACTCTTTTTTATGCCACCAGAAAATTTTAGTTTTAATATTTAAGCGGAAATCATGATAGCATTGAACAGTCTATGGTAATTAAAAAATTCTGAAGATTTATTTAGCAAGCATGCATTAATTTACTACATTTTTTCATTCTTCAAATATCCCTGGGGGAAAAAACAACAACGTTTCCTTAAACTACTGCAACATTCAACATTAAAAATAAACATCATTATAAATAATAATCAACAATAAGTTCCACATCAGCATATTAGGATGATTTCTTATGAATAATTTGTCACTGAAAACATCAGTGTGAATAGGAATGAATTAAAAATAATTTTTGCTCTATTACTGGTTATATTACTCAAATAAATGCATCCTGTCAGCATAATCCCTTAATCATACTTAATTATTCCAAACAGTTGACCTACAGAAAGCCTGATTCAAAAAAATCACAGACGAAAATTCCCATTGCTATGAATAACCAAATATCTTTCATTGCTTTTCAGTGGAACTTCAGAAGGAACTGATCAACACTCATCAGCAGTCATTAACATACAAGCCACGCAGGTGTCACTCACTTCACTAAACCTCCTCATATCCTCGTTTTGCTTTATTCTGTTGCACATGGGCGGATACGTTTTTTTTTGCTAACAGTCAAATCTTTCTTAGAAAGAATCACAGGTGTCACTCCAGGGCTTTTGGCTCATGATTTTAATGCCATCCAAAAGGAGGTTACCAGAAAGTAAACAAGCAACAACACATTTGTCACCTTTGTCACATTTGTTTTATTAGAACAATCAAATAAAATTACAGGGTGGCACGGTGGCTCAGCCCTGTCACCTCACAGCAAAAAGGTCACTAGTTTGAGTCCCGGCGGGGTCAGTTGGCATTTCTGTGTGGAGTTTGCACTGAAAAAACCTACATTGCAATATTTTTATTTTCTGCGATTTATATTTCACAAGTTAATTAATCAACGTAATAATTTTAGATTGATTGGGATGATTTTGTAGCATTTGCATAAAATATAATAAACAAGCTACAAGCAGAGATGAAGTAGAGCAAATATACAAATGAAGGAGTCTAAAACTATACAGGTACAGAAATACAAGAATCAAATGTACGATAAAGCTGTATATTCTTTATTGGTAAATAATGGGGTATATGCCGAAGCATGCTAATAGGACTTTTAATTTGCCAGTAACCTGGGTTAAGCGCTTCCGGCGAATTGAATGCCAACGCAAAATCCGGTTCGTTTAAGGTCTGTTTTCTTTAAAAATGAGCGATCTCCACTAGCTGAGTGATATCCGATGTTAAGTGGGTCTCAGATTGTACAAGAAGCACTGCATTAAATTACATTTCCCCCGCCTTGTCTTTATAATATGAGCATTTATTTTACCCCAGTATATTCAATTGAGCTTCTGCGTTAGCCTGCCGATTCTGACGGGCGCATGCGAGTAAACCGCTTTTTGTCTCGTTTTACGCTTGAGCAACCAAATAAATGCTTAAGTGTATTTAACTGAATGTATTTTAATGACATAACAACATCGATGCTGTATAAGGAACCGTATAAAATGGAAAAAAGTTCACAATAACAGGTCACCGGAAGTGTATCAGCATGGGAACAGCCCTAGCTCGGCATATACCCTATTAAGCGCAATTCCTTTTTGTTAAAGCTACAAACTTAATAGTTCATTTGTTTTAAAACTGCTTTAAACTCGCTTAAATTGAGGCCTTAAAATCACTTTTTACTTCATGTTAAACTGAAATGACTCCTAAATGATCATGTGTTCTGAACGGTTGGTCAACTACAATCCTGACTCCGCACTGTCCGTCCTGCAGTGTGACTATTGCGGATTTACACATTGCGATATCGATGCTGAAATAATATATCGTGCAGCCCTACTACCCACATTATTTCTCATATGAGCCACTGTAAGTTAAATGTGTCAAGACTTCTGGTCTCATTCATTTTCATTCATTTTTAGCAAAACACAACAAGTTATGTTGATAGAATTTGTGACCTGTACTTTTCTTATCATATTGTTTTAATGTATTTGACAGCCAGATGACAAGCAAGAAAGAAAAAATGGTAATAGGTAACACGTAAAAAAGAAAATAAAAAACAGATATAATTTATAAAATTATATATAATATATACAAATTACATTTTGATAAATGGAAAGTTTATTAAAAATCTATAATATTCCATGACGTGGACAAAAAAATAAATAAATAATACTGACTTTAAATGTCTGAAATAGACCTTTTAAATGTCTATGATATTCCAGAAACTCTATTACCTGTGGGAACCCTTAATACAAATGTAAAGAGACCAAATCATAGTTTTTTTATTATATTATATATCTACACTCTGTATTAATTACTGTATATTACTATATACTGGATGGATGGATGGATGGATGGATGGATGGATGGTTGGATGGTTGGATGGATGGATGGATGGATATGCAGATAGATAGATGGATGGATGGATGGATGGATGGATGGATGGATGGATGGATGGATGGATGGATGGATGGATGGATGGATGGATGGATGGATGGATGGATGGATGGATGGATGGATGGATGGATGGATGGATGGATGGATTGATTGATTGATATTTTGTTGTGGTTGTTGTTAATAAAAATTACCTTGGTATTACCAGGATGAGCTGGCCAGCACTGAACTGGCTCGCATAGCGGAAGAGTTTGATGAAGAGGGAAACCAGACGGAGGAACTGGGAA